TACGGCCCCGTGAAAGTTTTTCACGGGTAAATTAATATCTCGGGAACCACGGAGTCTAGCAGGCTGGAATTTTAGGGTAATAACCCCCTCCCCACGCTTAATCCTGCCTATTCAAATTCAGCATTCCCGCACTTTTGAGCATCACCTACAGCCTCGTGAAAATTTTGGCGAGTAAACTATTAACTCGGGAGTCACGGAAAGATATTTACTCTTCAAGGCTTCGAATTTAGCTTTCATGCGCTGGTGCGTGAAATTTTTAACTGTTTTCCAATGTCTGAACTATTTCTGCATAGAATAAAGTACAAAGCTATGAAAATCATTAATAGACAATCATTCGATGAGCTGAATTACAGCGCAAAACGCATGATCGCACCTAGTCTGGTGCGCGCTGCTATTTATTTATCTCGAGACCTACAAAAGTTATAAGGCTGAAACGTTGAGGCTGAAACGTTAATCTACATGAATGTGTGGCCCCATCTCCAAAATGGACACTTTTGCCCACGTGGTTGTCACGTGTGGGGCCATGAAATTTTTTTGCGGGTAAGTTGCTAATTAGGGATCCAGAGAAGCTAGAAAGCTGAAATTTTAAGGAGACGTTTTCTTGCAGAGGTGGCGGACAGATCTCATTTCTTTTAGCTGGAATCATCTGCTGGAAAAGACAGTACCGTTTGCTGGGGAACTGTAGAAAACGCATCTTCGTACCGGAAGTCTGTGCGCTGGCCAATTATTTTTCTCTTATACTTGCTTTGTGGCCAGTAAAACACCTCTTGGCGTACATTATCTTGAAAATATCGCTCAAGTTGAATCAGAATTGCAGTGCTCATTGGCATTGCAGCAAGTTGCGGACACTTACCATATGTCATCCCTCGGCTCGTTAGATCACAGCTTTTGTGTGGTGCAGAATCAGCAGCGGTGGAATGAAAGAGTGTCGCTTACGCAGTTGATGCGATGTGAGCGTTAGAGAAGGCCTCTGAACCTGATGGGAGTTGTCTATCCAGTTCTGCTAAGATCCATACCCAGCTCGTTTTTCACATGCATTGTTTCCAGCAGGTAGTTGGATGCGAGTTCAGAGAGCGGATTCTCGAGTTCATTTCCGTTGAAACAGTATGCTTTCTTCCTCTTAATTTCTCTCTGAATTTTGAGTCAAGTTTCGTGCTGGTCGCAAGTTCATTTAGCAGACTGCGGGTCATTTGCATTGAGCAGAAAGTCAGTTTTAAAAATAATCATTCCCTGTTAGCGCAAGTTCCCTTCATTCTTTCAGCTTCACGTGAAATAATTCCATGTGCTTCGATAAAGGTTTCCAGGGGATGAATATCGTATTGTTTTAAGCCTCTGCTAATCTAATTTTAAGGAACTAAAAAGGATGTTTTCTGTCTGTTGCTGATAATAAACTTTTCGATAATTCGAAGCAAACTGAGTTAGCTGCTTGCACGGGAATGTTTCATTCATTTAAAGGCCTTGAAATCTTCGAATAGTAAACATTAAAGAAGTTTGCATTCTTTGCAAATTTGCACATTTGCATTACTCTAAAGATTTGTCTGTAGTGAAAAACTTCCTTCTGAAGCATACTTTTTTCTTTTAGAGCTTTCAGTGAGGGCCTATGTTTAGGAAAAACCCGTCTTGCGGTTGGTGACGTGCATATGAAAAGCAACATCCTCAGAAAAACGGTAGGTATTTCTGCTCAGTCTGATTGCTGTGTTAATTGGATGCCAGTAGTGTCCCGAACTAAACATTCACATGTGTGTACGTGAGACCTAGGTATGCTTTAAACTTGATTTTCGAATATTTAAGTCGCACATTGGCGTGGAATATCACTGTAAAGTTTCAGTTGCCTAGTATGGCTCGGTGGCGAAATCGTTTTGGTTGTAAAAATTTTTGACGCGCCCGAATGCGCAACACAGACGGATGCTTAAGTTCATTTTGCACCTGCGTGTTCTTGTGCGGGATACAAAATTCTCGTAAAGACAGAGTGCTCTAATCAGCTTGGTTCCCGCACTAGCATTTTGTCAAAAGGGTCTCGACTTCAACTTTGATATCTCTATACACGAGGTGCAGATGTGCGCTAAAGTTGGGTCGGAATTCTCTCGCTCATACAAAAGCACAGAACGTGTCTGCAAAATTTCAACTTTCCATCTTGTCTGATTCCGAAAGTGCTTTTCTGCCAAAAAAATTTCAGAGGTGACAAAATGCTAATACCCAGACAGACAGATATCCACTTGCCAATACGTGTTTTTGCACTTGCATAAATACGCAAAAAAACAACCCGGGCTGGAACGCACCAGGCAAGCCGATGCGATCATAAGTTCTTGCAGCACATCTGAAGCAGTTAGGTTAACTGCATGAATGATTGTTTCTTCGCACCTGCCTTGTGCGCTCAATACCGTAAATCATCGTAAATGCATAAACGAAAATAAACAAATTCCGTTTAGCGGTAGTTTTATGCGTTTTTGTATATATGCAAATTGCAACCCAGGCTGGAATGCGCCGGGCTGGCTCGTACGATCATGGTTGCACCGGGCTTGAAGTACTCCGGTCATTAACTGCATGAATGGTTGTTGCTCTACCTTTTGCTGCCACTAGCATAAATCACCATAAATTTTACATAAAGTAAATGTACAATTCTTATTTAGCGGTTGCTCTTTAAATGCAACCTAGCTGTTCAGTAAGAAGTTTTTCCGCCAAAACTTTTAAGTGCCCGTACTAAGAACCACGCATACCTCAAAGTTGAATTTGAAATACTTAAGTTGAACTTGGACAGGGGACATCCCCCTAGAATTTCAGCTTTCTAGCTTTTCTGGTTCTCGAGCTAATAAGTTAGTAATTCCTCC